ATCGATCCAACATGTTTTACTATGAATTGTAGATTTACATTTAGTAGATTTGTTTTGAAATGATGGTAGATTTATTATTAAATTGATGGTATATCTATATTTTAATTTGTAAAAATAATAATTAGATTTTGAATGATAATATTTTTGTTTTCAAATTATATTTGTCGTAAAACATTGACCCAGACATTTCACATTTTTATCACATTTGCTAGTAATGTTATTATTCAATTTGATTTATTTCTTTACTTTCACTATGATGTATATCATAACTGAATAAAATTTTAATCAAAACACATGACTAAAATCATTTGATATTGTGATGTTGTAAGAGTTTATGTAAATAGAGTTAAATGTAACAAATATTCAAAAATAAAAATCAAAAGATCATAAGTTAAGAGATGGTTATTACAAATATGACATATATGTTCAAAGTTAATATGAAAAGCAAACTTATCTTAGAGAAAAAAATATATCACAGAAAAAATATTCATGTTAGAAATTTTTTACTATTGATTATGGCATCTATATCGTAAAGACCAATAATCATCTGTGATCGAATCACAGTTAACCGACATAATCTTAGCAAACTCATGCAAAGAAAACGTCAATGGTAACAAAATCAAGTCAAATATAACCATGGAACAAGTCTACCATATGTACGAAACATGTTTAACATATAACATTCCAAAAGAAGTCTACCAAATTGCTGGTTTTTTCGTATATAGGAGAATACTTTTAGGACAAAAAAGTAATTTCAATCCAAAAAGTCAAATGTCTGCCAAACATTAATAACTAAGTCTACCTCAAGCATGGAAAATAACTCTACCATAGAAACAAGTCTACCATAAGCACCTCATATGTCTACCAGATCGAGGTTATCTTTGTAAATACCAAACTTAATTAATCTACCACATGATTATTATAAGAAGTCTACCATACGTACAATAACTCTACCAGATTACATAAATTCTACCAAACTAACAAACAAATCTACCAACATTCTGTAAGTCTACTTCATGTAACAAATAATCTACCACTTACCGGAAAGAATTTTATTTCAATTTAAATCTACCACACAACAAACATATCTACCACAAAACAAATAAATCTACCAACATTTTGTAAGTCTACCTCATGTAACAAATAATCTACCACTTACCGGAAGAAATTTTACTTGAATTTAAATCTACCACAAAACAAACATATCTACCACAAAAACAAAAAATCTACCAACTAGATATAACTCTACCATAAAACAGATATATCTACCGTCACGTATTGACAACTTTTTTCACATAAGCCTACTGCCGAAGGACATAAGTCTACCAACTCAGAAATCAAATCTACCTCATTGACAATAAATCTACCGACAAAGTCAACTATGCAACAAAGTCAACGCTTTCTTTAACAAGTCTACCAACACGTTTGACAAGTCTGTCATTCATAACAACAAATCTACCAAAACAAAATAAATATACCTTTCATCGTCAAAACTCTACCAAGATAAGTCTACCAACATTTGTAAACTCTACCAATTCTCGAATAAATCTACCATCGACCTAATAACTCTACCGACAAAATTTTTGCGTTGACCAAAATTTGATAAGTCTACCGTCAAAGCCTGGTAGACTTATCAAAATTTCAGCGCTATATTATGCGTACGTGGCATTAAAAAAGTAATGGCATTTTCGTAATTAGGTTTTTTTCCACAAAGGCAAAAAAGGTATTTTGGGTATGCTAGGTTAGTTTTGTAAAAAAAATAAAAGTGCGCCAAACAAGTTATATAGATACTTTCTAAGGTTAGTAGAATAATCCTCCCATAATTTTATCGCTTATATAGAAGTCAATGAAACCTGGCAAATTCGATGTTCTCTATAAACATTGGTCCAAAAATGTCATATCATGTTTATTGATTAATGTCATTGCACTAAAGCTTTATGTTAAACAAATTATTTAAAAAATATTTGTAAAAAAAAAACACTAATCTTGAGATTAGCCAATTGAGATTAACATGATATTTTATAAAAGAAAAAAAATTGTTTCTCTTATTAACATGCTATTTGATCATGTCATTTAGAGAAGTAACACACAATTAAGTTTTTTTTGAAAAAGAATTGATAATCATTTACTTAATTAACTCTCTCAAAAAGTCAAAATATTATTTACCATGAAAAAACCCTGGCAAAATGATCCTTAATTTTAAGCTACTCACAAAATATAATCTTTCACTATTTAGATTTTTTTTTCGACCTCTTTCACTATTTAGATAACCACACAACCTTACACAAGACAAAGCAAAAAACACCGATGTTAAAATTTTTTTTAAAAAAAAACATCTTACACGCAAAAAAATAACAAACCTATAAATAGCGTTTCCCGTATCACTTCTGTTCACAGAAAGTGTCCCCAATCGCAGAGAAAGGAGGAAAATACCAAAAAACGCAAACGCGATTTCTCTCTCACTCTCTCTCTCTCTCTCTCTAAACTCTCTGATTCTCGCAGCGTTTTTCTTTAACGATCGTCCATGGCGGACATCGCCATCGGCGTCGGGAAAGAGCCGCTGATCAACCGCGAGAAAAACAAGGTGTTCAATCGCTGCGTTTCGCACCAGCAAGACGAGCTACAAAGCTTCCGTAAATACCTAAGATGGATGTGCGTGGACCACTCGAGTCCATGGACTGCGATTCTCTCCTGGACGATGTTCGTCGTCTTCACGCTCGTCGTTCCGGCGATCTCTCACTTCCTCCTCGCCTGCGCCGACTGCGACAGTTACCACTCCAGGCCTTACGACTCCGTCGTCCAGCTTTCTCTCAGCAGCGTCGCCGCCGTCTCCTTCCTCTGCCTCACCAGATTCGTTAGCAAATACGGTCTCCGACGATTCCTCTTCTTCGATAAACTCTGGGACGAGAGCGAAACCGTACGCAGAAACTACACTAATCAACTCAATGTGAGTTTCTCAATATAATTTTCCCCAAATTCCCCGATTTTGAATCTCGAAATTGAAGTTTCGTTCTCCGGAAATTTGGGAGATTTCGATTCAAATGGTTTTGGGTTTTAGGAAAAAATCACGAATTTGTTGATTTTCGTTAAAAATTTTGGATCTTTATTACAGATCATGTCGCAGTATGTTGAAGCTAACAATAGATCTCTTTTTTTTTCTTCTAATGGTGTAAAGTGTAAACAACTAAGAAACAACTCATCTCTGCCACATAATTCTAAGTTGAAAAAAATAGCAATAATTGTAAAAGAATTAATATTCTATTCTTATGGCAAATAAATTGTACAAAGAATGTAAGTCACAAGATAGAAGAAGATAGAGAGAAGAATCATGAATATTTTAAAGTTAGGAAACTACTCGACGCATCTTAAAGGTTAAAGTTTAGACTTTGGTGTATTCTTTCTAGTAAAAATATGGATTTACCATATTACTTGCTTCACAAGCACTTCAAAGTTCGATGTTAGCTAATGAAACTAGCAATATCGTCTGAATCACATTTTTGTTCTTTCTTGCAGACTTCGCTTCATATTGTCTCCTACTTTGTGATCCCATGTTTCTTAGCAATGAGCGCATACAAAATATGGTGGTACGCTTCAGGTGGATCTCAGATACCTTTTTTAGGAAACGTTATCTTAAGCGACACAGTCGCTTGTGTAATGGAGCTTTGTTCTTGGCTTTACCGTACAACCGTGATCTTCCTTGTCTGTGTTCTCTTCCGTCTCATTTGTCATCTTCAGATCCTTCGCCTTCAAGACTTTGCTAAGCTCTTTCAGATTGATTCAGATGTTGGTTCTATCTTGTCTGAACATTTGCGTATCAGACGTCATCTCAGAATCATCAGCCATAGATATCGTTCCTTCATTCTATGCTTATTGGTTCTTGTTACTGGAAGTCAGTTTTCTTCTCTGCTCATTACTACCAAAGCTTACGCTGAAGTCAATATCTACAGAGCTGGAGAACTCGCAGTAAGTTTCCTTTCACTCACTATATATGTTATAGTGTGAGTTTCCGAATAAAATCCATTTTGGAGAAACTTAGTTGTTTTTATTTGGTTGTGCTTTTTTTATCTCAGCTTTGTTCGATGACATTAGTCACGGCACTGCTCATACTATTGCGAAGTGCATCAAAAATCACACACAAAGCTCAGGCTGTGACATGTTTAGCTGCAAAATGGCATGTATGCGCTACATTAGAATCCTTTGATGAGACGGCAGATGGAGAAACTCCAACTTTGGTTGCTAGAAACAACAACAACAATAAAGGTCATGATGTTATTACGGTAGCAGAATCAGACAGCGAGGAATATGGTGACGAGGAAGATGATCTGGACAACAATAATATCATTCCTGCTTATGCTTTCAGTACCATGTCATTCCAAAAGCGACAAGCTCTAGGTAATAGTCCCTCATCTTCAAAGATCTTCTGCAATGGTTTTGTTTTAATGGTCTCAACTTAATTATGTCTGGTTGGATTCTTTTGTAGTGAGTTATTTCGAGAATAACAGAGCAGGAATCACAGTGTATGGGTTTACACTGGACAGAGGTACACTCCATACAATTTTCGGACTTGAATTGTCTCTTGTTCTCTGGCTTCTTGGTAAAACCATTGGTATATCTTGAATCTCTTTATGGATCATCAAGAATGTTTTGGCACTGAACCACTTTCAGACTGTTGATCTTTTTTGTTTTTTTCCTTCACTGTAAATTTATTTATTTGGGTTTTTATACGTCAATATATTGTATTCATTGTTCTGTTAATTGTTATAGAGTTCATGTCATTGTAAATTAGGTTCACAAATAAATAAAAAAAATCTTTGTTTCCCCTTTCTATTTTGCGCTCTTGTTTTAAAACAGTCTACAAATCCTTCTACTTATTAGCAGCTCGATTCTTGCAGTACAATCTTTACATCATGTTACTAGATAATGTAGGAATTTAAAAGGTTACAGTGAATTAAGGAATTATTTCACAAAAAAGTATCTGAAAAAGGTTCAAGCTAAACTACTAAAAAAAACTGAATCAAGCACTAATTATGCTCAGAAATTGAAACACGGGCTTCATAGAACAAAGTTTTAGACTTTCAGTAATCAAAACCCAGCCCAAAGGTTAGACTAAAGACATAATCACTTGCTATAATATACTCGAGAACCAAAGAGGGTAAGAGGACAGAGAGAATGCTCATCTCTGTAACTTTTTGTCTCAATCATTCACAGTTATCTGTCTTCCTCTCGATTTTCTGTGGCATTATTCAGTTAAGCCCCTTCGACATTTGGCTGTGTACTCTGCTGCTGAGAATGTTCTGTGTTGGATTGCAAAGGTGTATGGGACGGTAAGTTCTCTGTCTGAGAAGCTGAACTCTCCTCTTGTAATGTTGGTTCAGTGACGATCTTCGGGTCTTCATCTTGGCAATTCGTAGAAACAGATCCCTCAATAACATCTTTGCTCGGATCTTCTTTGTTCTCTAGTTTCGGAGGATTAAGAGTATCTGAGTGAGATACTGGTTCTGAAGGATCGTCACACTCAGCGTCATTTCCTACATAACCTTGTGATTCATTGTTAGTATCAACTGCTCGACTCATAGATGCATCTTCAGCTTCAACCATTTGACTTGTAGCTGCTGCGTCTTCAGCTTCAACCGTTTGATTAGTAGCTGCTGCATCTTCAGCTTCAGCCGTTTGACTTATAGCTGCTGCGTTATCAGCTTTAACCTTTTGACTTGTAGCAGCTGCGTCTTCAGCTTCAACTGTTTGACCTATAGCAGCTGCATCTTCAGCTTCGTCTGTTTGACGTGTAGCTGCTGCGTCTTGAGCTTCAACTGTTTGACATGTAGCTGCTGCATCTTCAGCTTCAACTGTTTGACCTATCGCAGCTGCGTCTTGAGCTTCAACTGTTTGACGCATAGCTGCTGCGTCTTGAGCTTCAACTGTTTGACCTATAGCTGCTGCGTTTTCAGCTTCAACTGTTTGACGTGTAGCTGCTGCGTCTTCAGCTTCAACTGTTTGAGCTCTAGCAGCTGCGTCTTTAGCTTCAACTGTTTGATCTCCAGTTGAATTCTCAGTTGGTTTTGCTGTCCCGGGATGTGGCATTGCCTGTTGTTGATTAACCTTTAGATTAATTTTACCAACCTTCTTCTCTGCGGGTAACTGAACTTCAGCTGTAGTAGAAGACATTTTCGCTGTTGTCGCGCTTCTCATGACACGACCATATTTAGGAGGAAAAGGCTTCCCATTGTAGAATTGCACACATCTTGAGCAATGCCACTCAGATTTTGGAATACCTTTCATATTGTTTGCTTGTAGACATTTCAAGTGATAACCTTTTTCACAGGCATCACATATTAGCACCGTCTCTACTTCGTTGATAGTTCCTTGACACATCTGGCATGTCATTGCTTTACTCATATACTCTCTTGAAGGTGGATTCCACAAGAGATTTTGTTTAGCACGCGGTTGCAGGACTTTATGAATTAACTTGGCAATTTCAGCATGGTGGTTGTTTCCAAAAGGTGAAGAAGTCTGACCATAAGTCACTCCTTTCATGCCTGGGAATGTACCTGTCTGCGTGTGAGACATGAATGGTCTAAAGCTCGGATCTGTGACTCTTGAAGAACTCGGTACATGAACTTTGCTCTCTGATGGTGTACCAAATGATATAGTTGAACTGGAAGGTGGTTGAGCAGACCAAGATGTAGTATTCCCAAAATAATTTCCAGCAGGAACTGCGGGTTCAGAAGAATAAGTAATAATTTAAAGACATACATGTCACAATCGACCAAAAAACGCAGAGAAGATTATGAACCTCAAAATGAAAACCTAACAGACGTTTCTCAGAGCGCAAAAAGAACACACAAACAGAATCCGAGAAAGGATATGCAAAGGCAGATATCACCAGTAAGCTTTCTACAAACACAGAACTTAATAAACACATTCTGAAATTTGGAGGGTTAATTAATTTCAAAACCAAAAAGATGGGTAGTAGTACTCAAAAGTGGCACTAGGAGCGGCTTCATTAACTAGGTCAACTTATAATGTATACTACAAAAACCATAGCAAAGTCAACCAAGTGACCAAAAAATCCACCATCCAAAACCAAAACTTTTGAGCCAATTCTTCGAGCTATCTTCTCACTCGTAATATATCTTGCAAATAAAACAGGGGAAAGAACGAGGTACGCAAGGTGAACGTACCTGGTCCCTGAGAAGCACCGGTATGCATATCTGACTTAAACTGTGGTCTCTCAATTCTAGTTTGTGTTATTCCTGATGCATCCCTAACGAAATGGCTTCCAGTTGCATTAACAGCACTTATGGATGACTTCATTTCGCTATTAGGCCACTGATGATGTGCCATGGAAACATTATTTGCTGCAAAGCAATAGCATACAATGAAGAGGATTGTCATTAACTTCCTGAAGTTATTACTTGATGGGTTTATTGAAAAACTGATTGTAAGCGTAGCCATACCCGAAGTTAAAACACCTGGAGATGTATGTGTAGTGGATACTACTGGGTGCTTTTTCGATTCTTCCATCTAAAGGTTTAATATATCAAGCAACATATCAGATCAAGGCCACAGAGAAAATTTAATTTTTCAAGCAACAACTAATCATATTATATCCAATTAACACTCAAGACAAGTCATTACAACATATTTAGAATTCGTCAATGAATTGAAGCGAGACTGAAGAAAAGACCAAACCTTTCTCTTCCCAAGAGAGAGCTTCTCGGAGATGGTTAATTTAGGTGCTCGAAAACCTAATCGCTGATCCTTAAGCTTACCATTCAAACCCAGATCTTCAATCACAGCTCCAATAGCATCCCTACCGATAATATCCTTTGGAGCAAACTCTTGACACATGTCTACCAATTTCGACTTAGCTTCAACCATAAGCTCCTGCTCCAAATCCGTAGGGCTTTTCCCTCCTCGAATCCTCCGCAATGCCGATAAAACAAGAACAATCTCCGCCACTCTATTCACTTCCTCATCAAAACGTGGCTTCTTCGACGGTGGAGCCACCGATTCTGCCTCGCCGTTTTCATTCTTTTCTTCAACCACCGAAGCCTTTACGACGGATTCGAGATTCACCGGTACATCACCAATCTCCACATCCATCTTCAACAATTTGGAAGAGAGAGAGCCGCGAAGGAGAGTAATCAGAGGATAGATGGAGAGAGCGAGAGAAACCCTAGAAGAAAGAGAGGGAGATCTGAGTTTCGTCGGAGAAAGTGGGTTTTTAAAAATTCGAAAAAAGAAAATTAAAAGATTAAAATCTCACAAAACCTTATTTTCGCGGGTAAAATTTGGGGGAAAAATTTGAGAGCAAACACACGCACGAGTCGATTCCCGATTTTTTTACAAAAGAGTTTGTTTGCAGATGAAAGGATTTTAGAGAGAGAGAGATGAAGGAGCAGATACTGCCTAGAGAGAGAAATAAAAAAAATAAAAGGAAATATAAAAATATAAAGAGCTGTGCGACTTTATTTATTGGGTTTAAAGTTGGGCTTGTTTATGTTAAGGCCTTATTATAATGTAGAACCATTAACTTCTTATAAACAGACCAAGCAAAAAGGGCTTTTTTTCATGTTTTGCATTTGTATAAATTTAGACTTCCTTTCAACTTAATCATCAGAGCATTAATGAAATTTATATGTCCTTTGTGGAAGCTAATCATCATGAAAAAGATCACATCCTCTTTTTCCACCTGCTAGGATGGCGAATCTGGAAGCAAAGAAATGATGTCATTTTTAACAATACCAGATGGCCAATTCCGCAAATAATTCATAAGACGATGGTGGATTTTAAGTTGTGGAAGGATGCAATGATGGCAAATGCTCAGCAAATTCATCAAGCAGAACGTAGTAGAAATTATGAGCAAAGAAACGAGAATTTTATTGTAGCTGAGAATGTTCATCACAATTCACAAGCAGCTAATCGTTTCTTTTGTTGTGTAGATGCATCCTGGATATCTTCATATCAAAAGGCAGGCATAGGATGGATCTTATATAATAGTGGCGGTCAACGTTTACTTTGCGGGTCTTCTGCAGTAGAACCAACACAGTCATCCATAGAAGCAGAGGCTGAAGCTCTCAGAATGGCGGTAATTAACCTTCGCAGACTTGGGTACAAAGGAGTAACAATATGTGGTGACTTACAAAGACTTTATGTTCCTCTTCAACAGACCCAAAGCCTACTCAGCTCACATGAAGGCCATCATCTACCATGGGCGACGTTTCTATATGATATTCAGAAAATGGCTACTCAATGTGACTTCACATTTAGGAAGGTTAATCGTGCAGCAAACAGAGATGCTGATGATCTAGCAAAAAAAGCTAGGGTAACATTGCAAAATCATGTAATTAAATGGCTGTTGTAAGGTTCTTTTATGAAATGAACAAATTGTCGACAAAAAAAAAAAAAAAAGACTTTCTAGTTGTTATCCGCCCTCAGGTAATATAATTTTAATCCCCCTAATTTATACACTTCAGTTTACATTTTGCTAAATAATAGTAATGGTTTGAAAGAGCATAATTAACGAATTTGAGTGGCTTACAACTAATCGAATGCATGGAATCAGAAGTTTTGAGGTTTCCATTATTATTTGGTATTATTTAGAAGATGTTAATATTGTAAGTAAAATTTGACAATCAAGGGACATGAAATATTGGTGTAGTGATTGCTTAAAAACGAGAATGTTGGGTTTTTGTCATTAAAATTATAAAAGTTTAGGCTCTGAGAAAGCAAAATTAAAAGATAAATGAATTGCAGAATCAAACAAACAAAAAACATAAATGAACTTTGCGAAGTGGAATATTGTTAAAGCAACGAAGGTGGATAGATTTAGAGTTGAGTACTTTATCCAAATCATAGATCATCTATTTCCATCAACAGACGCTGCTTCCACATCCCCTTCTCCATCTACAGAGCGTGTTGAAAAAGATAACTACAAGGACCAGTTTCTCTCATCTTGGCCACCGATGGTGCAATATAATAATATATTCACTTTTCAATCATAATGAAGATTTATTATACATCAAAATTAATATGATGATGTATATCAGTATGCGCGCTGATGTGGGATTTGACGACAAACAATGAGCCAGTGGAGATAGTGAGGAGTTAGAGAATCTACAGAGCGTGTTGGGAAAGATACCTCTTCTTTCACTCTAATACACATGTATATATATATAGACGTTTACATAGAATAATAGATGTTGTGAAGAGGGTGGTTGAGATTACAATTGGGTGGTTAAGAGTTTCATCATCTTTTTGTAAATTGTTATGTGCATTGTTTTAAAGCGATCTCCTTCATCTATGATCGATCCATCTTGATCTCAAGATTCATCCTTCCATCGGTTCTTACTATTCATTACAAAGCATATCATATAAAATTTTGGGAGGGTATATATTTTATATGTATATATAAAAAGAGTTAAATGTTTAAAGTTTGATTTTGTTTTTAAGGGTGATCATCTTGTGGTAGGTAGATGCACCAGTGCTCTTCAGGATTCTGGAATAGTAGTGATCCCATTTTGAGAAATGCACCTTTTTTGTTAGAGCATGTCCAGTGGGGGTTTGGAGAAGGAGTTTGGGCCCGGGTTCATAGGCAGAATGTATTTAAAAAAAAAAAAAATAAAGCCTAATATTGACGGATCGGTTCGTCCGCGCGAGCTCGACGACCCCGCCTCTTAGCCACGTGTCACACTGCGATTGGTGGAGATTTCGTGGTAATTTTCGGGAAAGGAAATTTTATTTGGGCAAAAAATTCATTTCGTGTGTTTCCCCTCTTTCTTCTCCTCTCTTCCTCTTCACCTGCGATTCGCGACGACTCCGTCGAAATCGTTCAGACCGGTGTCAATTTGCGGTGGTTTGTTCATCGGAGGATCGACCTTCCGTCTACATCGGCAAGGTTAGTATATGTCCTTCTGTTTTCGTTGTTTTTGGCCGATTTGAGTTTTAGGGTTTGCGATTTTTTTTGGGGGAAAATTTTGGTGATCAATCGGGGGATTTTTGGGGGATTTATGGTTCATTACGAGATTTAGTGGCCTATTTGAAACTCATAATCGAATTTGCGAACGATATTTGTATGATTTGAAAAAAAATTGAAATCTGGAATTTAGGGTTCACGCGATTTGGGAAAATTTTTTGGGGGTTTCTTTTGGGGTTGCAATTGGAGATTGAAACAATGAAATACAACCGTATTAGACCTATTTCAGTGGTTGATTGCATCGATTTTGAAAATGTAATCGATGAAATTAGGGTTTCTTTGGTGGAAATTTTTTGGGGCTTTTGCTCGGGGGTTCAAATTGGTGTTTCCAACTATCACTAGCATCATTCGTCTATATGTTTAAAGGCATTATCGAATATGAATTTAGGCTTTGCTTGTCTTTTGTGGGTCGTATGGCTTTGTTTGTCTTGCATTTTTTTTTTAGAACCGTCAAGGCTGATAGTGGGTCGATGAAAATGTTATTGTTTTATATCGTTTCTCTTTTGGTATATCGTTTGGCTTTGTTTGTCTTGCATTTCTTTATTTTGTTAGAACCGTCAAGGCTGATAGTGGGTCGATCAAAATGTTATTGTGCACTTACTGGGGCTTATCGAATGTGATTATCGATTGGGATTTGAATCATTTGGTGGCTTTGTTTAGGGGTTGCAATTGGGGTCTAATTCACTGAAATGTGATTGTTTTCAAGTATTGTTTTAGGGTTTAGGGTTTACTATGCCACCGTACTGGGAGAGATCCATAACGATACAGCAAAAGGAAATAGAGAGGTTAAGAGCCCGCTCTACAGGGCAGGCCCCATTGATGGAAAGTTGTCGTATTGGGAGGCTGTGATTTTCGGACCAGCCGAATCGCCTTATTCTGGAGGAGTCTTCAAAGTCGGCTTGGACTTTCCTCCAGATTACCCGTTCAAGCCACCCAAGGTATTTCCTCTAGAATATCTGTTCTCATATTTTCTCTTCCACTAAAACGGTTTTCATATTTTCTAATATTGTCTCTGCAGGTCTTCTTCACAACCAAAATCTTTCACCCCAACGTAGGAGAGCGTGGACATATCTTCCTTCGGATGCTGACTATCGACAACTTCTCGCCCATTTACACCATCAATACTATTCTCAGTAAACTTCATGAGATGCTCACAAACCCTGAAATAGGTGAGGGGGACTACTACGATGAAGCCAAAGCGAAGCTCTATAAAGAAGACAAGGCGGGGTTCGATCAGCGTGCTCGGGAATGTACTTTGGAGCACGCTGGGCCTTGAAAAAAATTATCCCTCTTTCTTTATGTAAAACTACTTGTATAACTCTTGTTTTACTGTTTTTCTTTGGAATTTTGTCTTTGTAACATTGTTGTTGGTGTTAACACTCTTTCAATTTATTTCTTTAAAAAAATATATTTTTTTTTTCGGGATGAACTCCAAAATGGAGTTCACTACTGGAACCCTATTTTCACCCGAGTTCTTCCCAAACCACCCAAACCAAAAAATATTGTTTTTAAATGCTGATGAACCCCTCTATGGGGTTTACTACTGGACTTGCTCTTAGGGAATACATAAGATAGGTTTTTTCCCAATCATGCTGCTATAACTTTGCAAAACAAAAGTCAGTCTTCCCATTACTGAGCTTATATGTATTAGGTCCGTGGATTCATTGCATAGTCTCAATTGCAGTTCATCGTCTTCAGTTTTCCAAGATTTAAATAAAATAAGTTATTAATTTAGAGCATTTTTCATAAGAGCTAAACAAATCCATGACATGCAGATTTCAAAGCGAAAGTATTGGAGCCAACTTTCAGAAGTTTTTCATTTTCTTTTTAAGTCCAAGTAACCTTGTACATCTTGATAGATGCAATGCAAAACCCTAATACTTATTCGTGAAATAAGATGAAAGGAGACTTATGATTTGTGAAGAAGATGAAACAAGACCTCAGATTCATGAGATGAGTTTTATGATTTGTGATCTCCAGTGTACATAATTTTCTTATATAAAAGATACACAGGAAAAAAAAGAGGATATGAATTAGCATTAATGTTTTAGATATTATCACTTTTGAAATCTTGACTCCAACAAGCATAACAATTTTTAGTGTGCAAAATTTGATCAATTATTAAAATAAATCAATGAGTATATTCACTAGACACTAAAAAACCAATACTTCACACATGTGGAAGAAAATAATAAGAAATGATTTGTATTTTACAAAATACAAATTCTTAGGAATTAACAGTAAAGATATAAACATGTTTTGATAATGTCTTGATTTAATGTCTTCCACTGTATTAAGTTTTATCAAAAGTTTTCTGAGTTGAGACGATTTTAGAGTCTTTTAGAGTCTTTTTGAGTCTCCAGAGTCTTCAGAGTCTTCAGAGTCTTCAGAGTCTTCAGAGTCTTTAGTCTTCAGTCGATGTTGCTCTCACTGCCAAGAGAAAACCTAAATTAGTATAAATCAATAAGAGAAACAAAACAATTACATACATTGGTAGAGGTTCATATATTCTTCTCTCATGTGTAGTTTTTAATTGCACATCCACATGATCTAGCAGTAAATAGGCAATCTCACATCTTAGGAGTGTTTTCCAAAGTCATTTGATCATGGGTTACATTTACATCATTAAACAATTCACATTCATTACATTTACATCATTAATCAGTTCCCATTCATTACTATCTTTAACACTCCATTCATGATAGTGGTATAATTCTTCTTCATAGGGGTCAATTGGATCGAGAGAGAGAGAGATAGGGTATGGTCTTCATGCACATTTACATCTTGACTACCAAACCAATCATCTTTACAGAGCGTGTTGATGGTAAAATTCAGAAAATCAAAATTTTGTTAGATAAGGATCTTATAAGAAGTTAAAGCATCTCCATCACTGAATCCCTCATGGAGTTCTTAATAATTTTTAATTAATAAAAGAGAGAGTCACATGTACAAAGAACATTGGCCTAATTTTTTTTAAAAACTTTTCATGAGAGAGAACCATGTGTCTAAGAACTCTATTAAAATCGGTTCTTATTCAAGGATTCTAAGAAGTGGTTCTTAATGTTTTAATCAATTTTTATTTATTTTAAATACCCATAAAACTCTAAGAATCCCCCATAGATTCAGCGATGGAGATGGTCTTAGTAGAGATTGAGATGAGAAATAAGAGACAACCAGAGAAAATTGTAGACATTGGTGAATTTTTGATTTTCAAGTTTTTTTTAGTTTTATTATAAAAAATTTAGTTTTATGTGTTTTCTTCTTTACAGAAACGTGTTTCTCTTGATGAGAATGAGGTTAAACCAAAAAAAAAAAAAGACGAGAATGAGATATAAAACTGATAAAAATAAACACAAATCGTTCGTTTGGGATTAAGACCTAAAGCTGATGATGATGGTGATGTACAGATACACAATGAATTTATATACAAATTTTTCCATTAATTGCTCATACATTTTTCTTATCTGCATTATTAACCATAAGAAGAAAAAACCCATCATATGTTCTTCTTTCTTCTTTCTTCTTTCCGGTGAAGCTACGACCGCCGGATATTCAAATATTCCTAACAATAAGCGAAAATCCGAAAACTCATCGATTCATCGAGAAACCAAAGTCAACATCGTCCAATAACATCGAAGAATATAAATTATTACTTCCTCGATGATCCATAGAACCAAAATCATCGTCAGATTCTCCTTCTCTCAACATATCAATCATTTCCACAGCTTCGCTCATCTCCATCCTCCTCTCTTCTTCTTCTTCACAACATCTCAACCCAATTTTCAACAGATTAATCATTTCAGCTTTACAATTCTTCTTCCCTTTCATTTCCTTGTCGAACACGTCACCTGTTTTCTTCTCCTTAACCATATCACTAACCCAAGTCACAAGACTCATGTTTGGATCATAACCTTGCGTTAAGTAATTCTCAGGGAATCTCCCTGTCAAAAGCTCTAAGATCAACACACCAAGACACCAAACATCTGTCTTCTTCGTTATGATTTGTCCTTTCGCGGGTCTATACTCTGGTGATTTGTATGCAATCATAAAGTTATGTGCGTGCTCTGAGCTCATCACTGGTCTTAAAGCGTAATCAGTTAACAATGGCTCGAATGATTCGTCTAAAACCACGTTCGATGACTTAATATGACCGTGAGGGATTGTTAGGGTCGGTAACTCCTTGAACAAGTAAGATAAACCCTTTGCTACTCCTTTTATGATCTTTAGACGTGTTATCCAATCTAATCCAGGCTGATCCGTGGAACGATTCGCTGAAAATAATCAGATACAGAAATGTATATATAAGATGTCTAAAAATTTTAAACTAGTATTGAGATGGAAACCTAGGAAATGTTTTAAAACATACCATGAAGATGACTTGCCAAGCTGCTATTAGGCATAAACTGTGTGACTAAAAGCTTCTCTTCTCTCCGGTAATAGTAAGCGACGAGAGGCAATAGATTTGGATGGTTTAATCTCCCTAACCGTCTCATATGCTCATGAAACTCTTCTCTTCCTACATTGTTCATAAGCTTATACCTCTTCACGACCAATGTTTGTCCACTAGATATTGCTGCTTTGTATGAAGCACCAAATGTTCCGCTACCAAGAACTTCAGCTGAAGCTCTAAGAAGGTCTTGAAGACCGAATCTTTGAATGTCATCACGCACAAATAGAAGCCTGCCTGCTGGATCAGGCATGGATCCTCTCTTTCCATGACACACAACAGATTCAGCGGGTTTAGTGTTCTTAATCACGGGTTGATGATAAGTGTAGCTCTCTACCCTTTCCTTGCCTGCGGAAGGATAAGCTGACAAGAAATTTCGTCTTCTTGACTGAATGAAACAGATCACAAGCGCCATGATCATTAGTATTATGCCAATAACGATCAAAATGATCGCTATAGTGTTAAAAGATCCGGTCTTGTTCCCCTGGGGAGGACTAATAGGAGGACTAGGAGGAGATGTTGGATTAACAGGAATTCCTCGAGAGGAGGAACATGGACTTAATGGAGGACCACACAAATCTTTGTTACCTACAATTTACCAAACACAAAACATGCATTCATGTTAAGCAACAAAATGTTTTTGGAATTTTACACTAATGCATTAGTTGCACGCCTTAAAAAGGCCTAATGATGTAGAGAACATGTTACGTAAATGGTAATCTCTAAGGAACTATGAAAATATACCTGCAAATGAGCCTGGATCCATGTTTTGAAGGCTTTCGGGTATCGGTCCATCGAGGTCATTGTTTTCAAAGCTAGCTAGTTTAAGATCCTTTTGTTTAAAATATGGTAGTTTCCCTTGAAACTGGTTACCATTTAGCCTCAACTCTATAAGCATGGGCAAAGACGCTAAAGAAGAAGGAATTGTTCCCCTGAACGCGTTATTCGCCAACAAAATCTTCTTCAAATGGGGCATATCTTGAAATGCATTCCCGGGTATCTCCCCCGAAAATAGGTTATTAGACAAATACAAAGATTTCAACGAAGTAAGCCTGTTAACCTCAGGCATGGGGCCTTTGAAATTATTGTTCATGAAGCTTATGGTACGTAGATTCTTCATAGGAACCAGTGGTTCGAGGTTTAATCTCCCGGTTAAGCCCATTCCCTCAAGTTGTAACCCCCAAACGTAATTGCTACAAAGAACACCAAACCAATTCGCGTCATTTCCTAGACACGGTGATGTTGATGGATCCCAACTATTAAACACCGAACTATTTGCTAATGTATCTTTGAATCTCAAGAGACAGTCTGCGTCTGAATCTGGCACAACCACTTGAGACATTACAACCGGACATAACAAGATGATGATGAGGAAAATGCAAGAAGCTAGACTTTTCTTCGAGGCCGTGTTACACGCAAGCATAACCGGGTTCTCCCAATTTCGCATTGCGGTTACACACGCAATGGAATCAATTCGATTTTTTAAAATCTCTCTTTTGTTTGTCGTCGTCTTCCGTGAAAGCCAAGAAATTGAATGAACGGAAAGAGGGAAGAGCAAAACCTACCAAGAATAGACAAAGTGTGTAAATTGGCAAAGATGTGTTTTTTCTTTTTCCTTTTCTCTTTTGTTCTATTTTGTTTTTGAGATTTGTGTCATCTTAAGATTATTATTAGCTGAGAGAGATCTTTGGATAACCATTCAGTTGTCTTGTTTTAAGTTAAACATATGTAATCCTTGTTGTTCTGATTTGTCATTTGCTTTTTGTTCGAACCAAAGTTTTTTGTGTGTCTCTAGATGAGTTAACCTTGTATAACAAATTTCAAGAATTAGCCATGATTTGGTGGATTATTCTAGTATACAATATCGGAACTAATTAAACAAAGTGTAATTTTTCGAACTTTCTCTTCTATCTCCTGTTACCTTATAAAGTAAATAAATATTAGATAATTTTTTTTCTGCTCTGGATATTTAGCTTTGCAGCGTTGGCTTGATCATAATGTGCCACATGAAGTAAACTAGTGTATGCTGTATAATGATATTTTAAAAGTTAGTCTTTTATAGAAATATAGTAAAACAATAATTTCTTCCATATGTTCTTTCTAAAGTCTTGTAAAGAATCAAATGGGTGACTTTGCAATTCCTTTTTAGAAATTCTGTGATTGCGCACGAATTGTCGTAACTTGGAAGAGTTGAATTTTTCCGACAGTGTTTACTCGTAGACAAACAAAAGAAACAGCAAAGACATCATCATCGATTCGAGCAGAGCGAAAATAATAAAATTATATTGGGTAGAAATCAAAGTAAAATAAAAAATGAGAGGTCAAATATAAAATTTTCTCTCCTTCAAAACGCACGCGGAACGGGTCAAACGCTTTAAAGGCGATGCGATGATGGGCCCTCAAATCTGGTCGGCATTTTGCTTGAATGAATGAAATCAGAAATGTAACGTGTGAACTTTCAAGTACACACACTGCTGCTCCTGCAGCGTCCATACCATTTTGTTCTTGCTGGAAATTGTTTTTTCTTTTCTTTTCTTTTGACAGCAGATATTTAGTTACTTTTTATCTTGCCATAACCGTTTTATATATTTCCTTCAAAATGATAAAATTGTATATTTGATGGAGATATTTTTCTTCAGACTTAACATTTAATGCTGGATTTGGATTTCACCATTTTAAAAAAATTATTTTGGTATGTTATTATTATTATTATTATTTTTGCAATGAACAAGATAAAAAGTATATACATGAATGGTTTGGTTTTTTTATAACTTCAAAATTTTAATTTGCAATGTCGTATATACATATGGAAAAAATATTATAAATAAAATGAATATCATATAATGATCTTTTCAGATCCATGATTAGTCGATGTTGAAAGATGATGCGCTGATATACAATCATGATTTGTAAATAGCTATATTGCCAACGATTTTTTAGTTCAGTTAGATCATATGAGATATAAAAAAATATCATACCATGAATGCATCATTTTATAATAATGTGTATCATCCATCACATTCATGCTAAATAATAAATTGGACAAGTGTCTAGATGTTATGTCATTAACCATCAGTTAAATAGATGTATGATGCCATGACTATTCACTAGTCATTCAATTAAAAAAATTACGGATCTTGAAACACCAAATAAAAAGTCCATTTATGTAAAGATATTATAGATATATATATATATATATATATGGTAGTTTTTTTTTGTCGCATATATGGTAGTTAATATGTACATTTATGTAAGAAAAAGAAAAATAATTTTGTTAGTTGGTAAATAAAAAATGAGAGGATAAAAAGGCAGGGAATAATCACAAACTTTTAGGCCTAAAAGTGAGAAGTGTTGGACCAACCCCTGGCTTGCACGTTTGGTGTCATCCCCATCTCTTTTCTTTCCGATCTCATCGATGTTTGCGTCTCTGCTGACCATTTTACCCTCGCCTGCATTTTTTTTTTCCTACACGATGAAAAACGATACTGTGGATTTTTTTTTGGGTAAAATATCAACTGTGGATTTGGTAATCAAAATACCATTTATACATTATCAATCACTACTGTATGTTTTAGTTTGGTTATAACATTAATTATCTATAGTGTACTTTGATTGTTCATTCTGACGACTCGAGGTTTACCAAAAAGGGAAACAAAAAGATGTTTATATTGCTTTCATACCTTCGTCCACACATAGAATATAATAAAATCACCATCATAGATATTTTGATTTCTTGAGTCATTGCAATTACTCGGTTCGTACGTTTTTGTAAAGATTTTTTTCCAAGGACCATTTGCTATTATTATACACGATTGATAAGTACCCATTGTTTTTGCTTTTGCTCGTGTTTCTTTCATTACGAGGAATTGGAATTATCAATTATATAATACAAAAAACAACTCAAGTCCGAGTTTTTAATGGTCCCATGGATATATATACATATATATATATATATCATACGATTGATCTTGGTTCCATGAAATTTCTAGGTAAAAAAAAATTTTGATTAACAGAAAACAAAAAAACCCGTTACGAGTTGAATGACGTAAACCAAAATAGATTGTTGACTCTGGTAAAATATGGTAAGCCTACAACAGTTCAACTACTCTCTCATTAACTCTCAATTTTTTCATTTATTTCATTATTAATATCTCATTTATTAGCATTTATTAGATAAAAATCATAGAAAAGTGATTGTAGAAATTTGCAAAATCGTGAAATTATTCTTTCATTATGCAATTTTCAATCATTAAACTTTGGTTTTATTTTATTTTTTTTGGTCAAAAAACTTTGGTTTTAATAATGAGATAACAATACGACAAATAGAAGAAAAATACTTTGATTTCCAAACAAAAACATTATCAACATAAGTTTATCATTTTACTCGCCAATCGTCAATTAATAATACTCTGACTGGTAGAAAGAAAGGTTCTTTTTACGCGCTACATAAATATCAACAGTGGCAAACATGTAAATTCGAATAGTCAAAGGGGTATTTAGTTTAGAAAGAGATGAGGATAAAAATGAGGTGAACGAGATTATTATTCTCCTGGTGGAAAGTGGGCAGCAAGTGGTAGCAACAAAGCACTTCTCTTTTGATTCTTTTGCCTTTGAAGCTTCAAAAATCGAAATCAAAAACCAATCTTTTGCTCAAACCTCAAGAATCTCTCTATCTTCCTGTCTCAATCTCTCTCTCTCTCTGCAAACCAAACCAGGTTCGTTTTCGTAACTGAGTTTCTTGATTTCAAAGTTCCCATCTTTTTTCTCTCTTCTCCAATTCTGTCGGTTGCTTTTGTTAATTATCCGTTTCTGCGAGTGTCTAGTGATTTTCTTACTTAAGTTTCGTTTGTTCGTCCTGTTGTTTCAATCATCTATGCGCAGCATAACTATCTTTTGAGTAAGCTGTGTTGAAACTTGAAATTGAGTTATCCAGTTATGTAACAGTCGTGTATTCAGAATTTCGGTTAAATTTTCTGAATTTTTTCTTTCTATTGAGGATTGAAGTCATGTTTCGATGTTGTTTATGATTTTTATCTACTGGGTCGATCTTAAATTGAATCTTTCTAAATAAAGACACAACCTTTAAGATGTCTTTTTGTCTATATGAAGCATAAGAGGAACAATTAGGGTTCTTGTTCAAAGTAGAATTCCCAAGATCTAAGAATCTTTGTTTGCTTGCCAGATAATTTCAATATGGAGGCTACTCAGAAACATATCATTCAAGATGGATCTTCAATGTTTTACCATAAACCATCTTCAGCCCAGCAGATGGACATCTCAGTTCAAACTTTTGATTCTTACTGCACACTTGAATCCTCTTCAGGCACTAAGTCTCATCCTTGTCTTAACAACAACTCTTCTTCAACCACAAGCTTTTCCTCTAATGGAAGTCCGATTTCGCAATCCAACAACAACAACAACAACAACTCTTCACGGTTTTCGGAGTTTAATCATTCCCCTGATGACAACAACAACAACTCTCCCTTAAGCGGATCTTCCGCGACAAACAACAACGAGACAGAGCTTAGTCTCATGCTTAAAGATTTGGAGACTGCAATGATGGAGCCTGATTTAGACAACAGCTTTAACGGTTGTGATCATCAAGCCGGGTTTGGACAACAACACAGGGTTGTTTCTTCAGCAATGTATAGATCTATGGAGATGATCTCGAGGGGAGATTTAAGAGGAATGCTCTACGAATGTGCAAAAGCGGTCGAGAACTACGATGTGGCTATGACTGATTGGTTGATTTCTCAGTTACAGCAAATGGTTTCGGTTTCTGGTGAGCCTGTTCAGCGCTTAGGAGCTTATATGCTTGAAGGGCTAATTGCTCGTTTAGCTTCTTCTGGTAGCTCCATCTACAAAGCATTGAGATGCAAAGACCCAACAGGTCCTGAGCTTCTTACTTATATGCATATCTTATACGAAGCTTGCCCTTACTTCAAGTTCGGTTATGAATCCGCTAATGGAGCTATAGCTGAAGCTGTGAAGAACGAGAGTTTTGTGCACATTATCGATTTTCAAATCTCTCAAGGTGGTCAATGGGTGAGTTTAATCCGTGCTCTTGGTGCTCGTCCTGGTGGACCTCCAAGAGTTAGAATAACAGGGATTGATGATCCTAGATCATCGTTTGCTCGACAAGGAGGGCTTGAACTAGTTGGACAACGACTCGGGAAGCTAGCTGAAATGTGTGGTGTGCCTTTTGAGTTCAACGGAGCTGCTTTGTGTTGCACGGAAGTTGAAATGGAGAAGCTTGGAGTTAGAAATGGAGAAGCTTTAGCGGTTAACTTCCCGCTCGTTCTTCACCACATGCCTGATGAGAGTGTAACGGTGGAGAATCACAGAGACAGATTGTTGAGATTGGTCAAGCGTTTGTCACCGAGCGTGGTGACTCTAGTTGAGCAAGAAGCGAACACAAACACTGCGCCGTTTCTTCCACGGTTTGTGGAGACAATGAACCATTACTTGGCGGTTTTTGAATCTATCGATGTGAAACTCGCTAGAGACCACAAAGAAAGGATCAATGTGGAGCAGCATTGTTTGGCTAGGGAAGTTGTGAATCTTATAGCTTGTGAAGGGCTTGAAAGAGAAGAGAGGCACGAGCCGTTAGGGAAATGGAGGTCTAGGTTTCACATGGCGGGTTTTAAACCGTATCCTTTGAGCTCGTATGTGAACGCGACGATCAAAGGGTTGCTTGAGAGTTATTCAGAAAAGTATACTCTTGAAGAGAGAGATGGAGCATTGTATTTAGGATGGAAGAATCAACCTCTTATCACTTCTTGTGCTTGGAGGTAACACAAGAACTTTGCTTGGTTTTGAGAAATTTCGAGAACTTAGAATATTTTCTTTTACAGTTTACAGAATCTGTTTGTAAAAGTTAAAAACTTATGAACCTAAGAAACACTTGCCAGATGTTGTAGTAGTAACTAGTAAGTGTTGTTGATGACCCCAGGATGTTTAAAAGTTTATGTTTTTATTTTCTCAAAGAAACTATGATTTGACATTGAAACTTAGAACTCTCTTCTGTTCTGATGTGAAAAATTATAAGGCTTTTCTGGTTTTACATAAAAGTAAGGGATCAACGTTTTCTTGTCGTTATCAAGCTGCAGATTTTTTGTGTAAAGATAATGTGATTTGAGTCACCTTATTGATTAATCGAATGTCATAAGACTCATAACTAGTCAAGCGTTTAACCAATTAGAAGGTGTTAAATGATACATATTAATCGACCGTTTTAAAGCGCGTTTGATTTATTTTTTATGATTATGGAGTTGATCATGTAAAATCATAAGTCAGATCAACTAATAGGATGTCAGAATAAATAAAACGTTTCAGTCACAATATTGTGGTTACTTTGTGATGGATTCAATTAAAGTTGGTTCGTATGGCTTAGAACTCAGAACATTAAGTGGCCCTGGCTTTGGAGTGGGCTAGTTTGAAGTATAGGTCGAGGTTTTTTTTTTCTGTTTTCAAGTTTTACTTGGCTTATATATAAACCTCAACGCCTCTGGATAAAAACAGGAAAACGGATTTTCTTGTTCGTAAAACCTCAATTTTTTTTTATTAGCACTTTTTTTATCATTTTGATTACCTGCAAATGTGGCTAACTTGTTTGATTAACCTGATTTAAGAAGTACGACCGTCGACAAAAAAGTCGATAAACTATTGATTTTCTATATTGGTAATAGAAAACATAGAATATCTGTTTGGTGACCATTTTTCTAACTCGGTAATAAGAGATTCAACGGGTAAAACTTACCAATGAAAGTGCTTGTTTTTTTTTTTTTTTAAGTAAAATAGGTAGAAAATGGCTTTTAACCCCAAAAGAAGTAAGAAATGGCTTTTAACCCCAAAAGAAGTAAGAAAATGGTTTTTACCCCAAAAAGAAGTAGTTAAAAATGGGTGAATACAAAATAGTTAAAACATTCCGTTAAGATAACATGTGAGTTGGTCAAAACGGACAATTGCTACCACTATGAGCATATACACGACCACTGTCTAATCGGTTGGTCAAACAATAACCATCTTTGTAAAAAAGACAAAAAAAAAAATGAAAAGCTATATGATGAGTCAATGAGATGAGGAAGAAATGAGCAATTCAAATCTAACATCGTTTCCCCAATTTTTTTCTAACTAAAAATTATTTCAAATCTTATTCTTGGTCCATTAAAAGCTGTACTTCTTGATACGGTCAGTTTTGGTACATTGATTCAGGAAAATTCTTGAGTTCCCTGATGATGTCACGGTGATGTACTCATTCGTCAGACAAAAACATAAAGTTTCTAGATACTTTGTAAATAAATAATCGTTGTCGTTTCTTGGGTTAGTTACATAAACATTATTCAAGGACTTGAGTTTGTGTCTTTGACCCTTCAAATAAAATCAGTAGAAGTACCCACGAGATGAGAAAGGATCGGATAATGATAAATGGTCTAACAGTCATTCTTACGTCATGCTGTCGACAGCTATTAATATCACGTGATCTGCTAATAAACGCGTGCGCGTATCTGAACTAAACGACGCGTATTGGCATCTAAAATATGTGAATGTTTTATGGTTTAAGCATCCTCATATTCTTAATAAAATGCATTGTTATTGGTTTATAAATTTTGAGATTCTAACATTTGATATGCCAGTATAATAATAATAGTGGTCAATACCGCAAGCCAAATTTCGTAATAATCATAACTTTTCTTATCTCGATTCAAAAATAAAATGAGTAGATTATATCATTTGATCAGGATTATCTACTTGATAGATTCATTTTTTTTACAGCCTAGGGAAATAATTTGGAAGCTGGCTTTGATTACATAGATGTTGTCATAGCATAGCCGAATTCGACGCACAAAAAAGAACACTTATTTTGTTCTTTCTAAAATTTTGAAAGTGGATGGACCACTATATTTTTTGTTTTGTTTTGAAGCTGTTGATACAAAAGAGAATACAAAAAAATAATAAATTTTCGGATGCAATAATTGGAAATATCCACGGGGTCCATTAACGAAATTGAGAGAGATGATCCATTCACTTTTGCCTTTCGACAAAACATTTGAAATGAAACATAATTTCTGCGAGCTATTACAAAAGATAGAAGATGATGAATTGATGACGTAACACAAACCTTTGATATCGGCTCCTATTTTTTAAATGAGTCCATATTTTAATCTGATTCTCTTTTCTTTCTTACAAATTTAGCTAAATCTTACATAGTTACATTTACATCCCTATTTTTCTTAAACATAAACTTTTGCTAACGTATTAATACATTTTAGAGCTAATTTATTAAGCAAAAAGAACTTATTTGTATATTTAAACATACATCACGTTTTAAAATGGCGTCTTCAAAATCCAAATAGTTCATTTAAGTTTTTTGATACATGCATCCTCTTAAATTGGCCAACTGTCAATACAACAACTCCTTTCTTACTATAAATATATCTTCACCAGAGATTCAACAAACAAGACATATTCTTCACTAAGTTTCTTTACGGATTCAAGATGCCAATTCCAGATAAATCTTCTGCTGATAATAATAAGAAGAGGTTAGTTGTTAAGAAGCTTTTTGCTAGACAGCAACACGAAGGCTTTGGAGCTGTTGTAAGAAGAAGCATCGGAAGGTAATAAACAGATTACAAACTAGCAGCTGAAAATGATCAATTCGTTATATCTGATTGTAAATGAAAAGAGGTTTAAAAATCTGTGATTTTTTTCAGGTTTGAGTTAAGATACTTCGACCCATTTCTTGTTTTGGATGAATTCTCAAGTGGGGTTTGATTCTTCTATTCCTTTGTTCTCTTAAATTAAATTAAATTATTCTCAAGTGAGATTTTTTTTTTCTTAAAGCAAAATTAGAAGAGATTAATATTAGATAATCCTTTAAAACTTTGCAGTTTCGGCTCATTCAGGATTCCCAGATCATCCACACAGAGGTTGGTTTGAGTTTGTATTTGCCTTTAAGATCAAAATATATATTTTTTAATAAAACATTTTCAGTTTTCATAAAATATTCACCGGCTGACAAAAACAGAGTATGACCACTAATTTCTTGTTCTTTTCAAAAACAGGATTTGAGACAGTCACTTACATGTTAGAGGTACTGATTGATCTCTTTCTATCTTCTTATTCGATTTGGCAAGAATCGCCACGCGTAATTCATGATGTATTTATATTTACATAGGGAGAAATTTTGCATGAAGACTGTGAGGGACACAAAGGAGCAATAAAAGAAGGAGGATTACAATGGATGACAGCAGGAAAAGGCATTGTTCACTCTGAAATGCCTTCTTCTAATGCTAGTAGCATTACTCACTGCAAAGGCCTGCAGCTTTGGATCAATCTCTCCTCAAAGCACAAACTGTAAGCTTTTTTGATGTGAAAATGTTCGCATGTTTCCATATATTAGACTATAGCCTCTTCTTGTTTTCTAAATCTTTGAAGAGTGGAGCCGAGTTATCAAGAGATTGAGAGCAAAGATATAGCAGAAGCGGAGAAAGATGGTGTGAGAGTGAGAGTTATAGCTGGGGAATGGAATGGAGTTAAGTCAAAGATTTGCACAAGAACACCAACAATGTATTTAGACTTCATTCTCTCGCCGGGTTCTCGAATCTCTCAGCCCATTCCAATTCACTGGAATGCGTTTGTCTATGTTCTTCAAGGCCAAGGCCATTTTGGGGATGCCAGGTCACATCATTCAACGGCTGCCGCACATCACTTTCTGATTCTAGGCCTAGGTGGTGACCGGTTAGAGGCTTGGAACAGTTCTGATTCCGGTTTGCCACTTCGGTTTATCCTTGTAGGTGGTGAGCCTATAAATGAACCAATGGTTCAGTTTGGTCCTTTTGTTATGAACACACAAGAAGAGATTGATCAGACCATTGATGATTTTGAGAATTTTACAAATGGATTTGAAAAGGCTAGACATTGGAGGTCTCAAGCTGTTTCTGCCTTAGGATTGTTCTAAAATGTTTTTGCCTCTACTTATAATTGTTTTAATATTTTTGTACCTTTTTGATATCATTATTAATTAATTGTATTTTGATCCTTCCACATCGATCAGAAAAAAATGGAGAGTGATTATCTATTTTCTCTCCATTTTACGAATTTTGTTTTACAGTCATTTTTAAAAAAATACATTTAGTTTTTTTTTTCTTTGAAACGTCATCTCTAATTTTTTTTGTTTGTTTCTGATTGATATATTTCATTTCATTCAAAAATTTATTATATTAAGAATGTAAAAACACTTTAATTTAAACAGAAATATATTATTTAGAATTTACAAAGTATCCATCCAATCAAAGTCCAAGACGATTTTGTATTGTACACTTCATTCTCCAATGCTTCAACAAATTTATCAGCATAACCACTTATAAATCCAAGACTAACCAATATCTACTTCAATTTCTTATGATTCCTCATCACTAGCTCACTATCTTTATCCACTAAAGTATAAAGCTCTCCATCAATTTTTTTTAATTTTTTTATTTCTTTGCACTTTCTCACTCGCACTCTTTATTACAAACTCTTTTACTATTTCAGGAATCCAACCAACAAAATCGTAAAATATTAGGTCAGGTTTTAAAGCACAAACCTTTCATTCGATTTGATTGTTATTGCATCGGATATGATTTTCCCAGTCGTGTTTGGGATATCCGAGTGGGCGCCAAGTGGGAAACCTTCCACAGGAAGGAGAGTAAGAGTGTCGAAGACGTACAATGCTATTTGGGAACAAATTGAGAGGTTTGAATTATTTCTGAGATTTTTTAGGAAGCACAAAAGGGGATTTGAGACATTTCTCTGCTAGTATATTGGCTAAATGAAAATACGGAATCATATGATCAAAACTAAACAATGGGTACATAAAAGCATGAAACATTGACCCCATTTCCCTCCCAACAAGAAAACTTTTAAGTCTTCAAGAGGGAGATAAACGAAAAAAACTTCCGGTTATATTGTTTTATTTTTCTTTCTTTCTCCAAGTGGAAAGAAGCAACGATATTCTGTGAGTGAGACGGTTCTTCTCTCTTAACGACACACCTATGTGTTGTTTGGAGACTGAGTTTGT